CCCATCATAACAATTCTGGGCATATCAAATAAAGATCTCATTATATATTCACTGTATAGGGAAAACAAATCAGGTGACAGTACACATCCTTGTCGTACACCCCTCTTTATGCTCTGAAATGTACCTAAACATTCGTTAATTCTAATAGCTGCATTTTGCTGCCAATAGACATTCTTTTTTTTTTTTTTTTTTGGTTGATCTTTTCCATCAATGTTTAATTTTTATAACATATTAATTACGTCTTCATGTTTTCACACAGTCAAACGTTTTGTTTAGTCTATAAAGCATAAGTACAAATCAGGCTTTACTTCTATAGCCCTTTATGACAATTTCCTTTTGATGTATATGATGTTGTATGCCCCTTTTTCTTCTACAAATCCACATTGTCCTTCTCTGATTTCTGATTTAATTTTGTTTATTTTTTTTCCTCATAATTATTCTCTGTAAAATCTTAGTCGTGTGGAACATAAGACTTATTGTGCGATGGTTTTCACATGGTTTCTTTTGCAGAGCTATAAATATGGATTTTAAAAAGACATTTGGAATACACCCACTACTATAACAATTGCAATGTTCTCTGCTAGGGTTATGTTTCTACACGCCACATTGCTGTACTGACGAACACTTAGTTGCTACGACACATCAGAAACAAAGGTTCAGTAATATACCTTTATTCGCTGAATCAAACAAGTCACTGACAGTGCATTCTTTCGTCCTCTTGGTCGTTATGCCTGGCTGATTTCTGACGGTCAGGCTAATTTTCTCGCACACTGCTTTGATCCATCCATATCTCTGGAATCACACATCCATCTCCAATTAAAGCCGTGTACCTGGTATTAGTACATGTTGAAACTGGCAATCAGAAAACATTCATGTCTTCTCTCGAACAAATACACGTGTTCGCAAGTTCTCCATTCTCTTCAGGCGTTCTCTCCCATACGACCTCACTCATCCAGGTCCGAACTTCAACTGTCTTACTACCGTCTATCGGTTCACGTCTTCTGTTCCAGTCTCACGCTTTTCTTGTATCCCCAATTCGCTCACCATGGGATACCCACTTATCTCGGTTTCCTCTTGTATCACTGGTCTTTTGACCTTGTCCTCCCCATCGGGAACTCTATGGCATTTCCCCTGTAATTCCCAATATTACAATTATCATTTAAACGTTTAGTTATTTTTTTCAATTCCAAAATCTCATAGCGCTTCGAATTTTTTCAGTACGATGTTGTCTGGACCGGGTGCTTTTCCTTTCTCCATAGGATGCAATGCATCCTCAAAATCTGCAGTCATTATTGGTGGACCATCATTGTTGGTCTGCAGTGCTACATCTGGTCTATTATCATCATACAATTTCCCTATATACTCCGTCCATCTGTTAATTATATTATTATGTCCCATTATTAAGGGACCATCTTTTGATTGTAAACATCCAGTGCTGTTACATGTCATCTTTCCTGTTAACATATTTATCTGTTGGTACATGGAATGTGAGTCTTTCCCGTGATTTTCTCCAACCTCTGTTGACATTTGATTCAGCCAGGCTTCTTTAGACACATTGAAGATGTTCACTATTTCCTTTTGTTTCATAGAGTACTCTTCTTTATCAATTTTTTTTTCTCCATTCTGTCATCTGTCAACTGTAGAATTTCGCTTGACATTTATTTCCTTTTTGCAATTCTATGGTTTGGTGAGATTGTCTCTTTCGATGTCTGCTGAATTGATTCACGCAATATAATCAACTGTTCATCAATAGACCGTAAAATTTCCATTGCATTAAACCGGCTTTGTACAGTGACATTGTACAGTTTCTTAATTTCTTTTTCCGTTCTAAGTATTCCTAAATTTAACATGATGTTCTGTGCTCTTTTCCTAATTTTCTTTTGTTTCATCCTATCTTTCCTATAAATGGAACATGATCAGCGGTACCGAGTGAATGTCTGAAATTGTAGGCTCCATTAACAGTGTGTCTCAGCAGCTAGCCTTTTTTAATGATGGCGCACAAAACAGTGTTATCTCACTTTAAGCAAGGCGTATATCTCTGACAGGGATGCCTGGTACAGAACTGAACCACATGTGGTGGTGCAGCAGGCGCAGAGCTGATACTGGTCTAGACCTAGCTATAACTCTTTGTGGACATTTCAGAAACAGGTTCTCAAACTGGAAGCCTGGCTAACGTAGATAGAATCGGAGTCTCCTTCCAAATCAGCGTACATCTGCCTGATTGGCTTAGTACCATCAGCTTGCGCAAAAAAGGGTCATATTTGTAATATTAGTTTGCACGATCAAACGCAAATCCTGGAACACGAGCAAAGTACAGCAGAGGTGAGCAACAAGAACTTTCCGCAAGCGTGTACAGCTGGGGAAGGTGAAGAAAGAGAGAAGTACCTAAACAGCAGACATGTAGGCAATATTTTTTCTAGCACATAGAATATCGATAAGGTATACATAATATAAACTTTTATCGTTTTATACCATAACGAAAACAGGAGATAATTACGTTTATCACATGTAAAAAGCACCCATGACAATACTGTTTCTTAGTAATAATAACACCAAAGCATCACATTAGATTGTTTATGTATCACGTAATGTATCTTTTCCCTTTGAGTAACCAAAGCAGTAGTCCGAGGAATCGTGTTGCCTGAACAACTATGATCTCTAAAATTCTACCCGCAATTTGGACTCTTCAGACGAGGTACCGTCACGGCTGTGATTCGCACTCCTCCTGAAACATAATAAAACACTGTGATCTGTAAAGATAGAAAGGTGCCCATCATATATCATACAGAGTTGGCGTCATATGCTTAAGGGTCTGGAACCCAATTCCATAATATCGCAAGATGTTTCAAATCAGCTGCGGGTTTTTTGGCAGAGGATACATTTGTGATGATTATGCCATTGACGTGAATATCGTCAATTTAGAGGCAATGGTAAACTACCGAACTTAAGACTGCCTAGTGAAAAGATGAGTTATGTATGCTCAGTCCCTGAAGATGATATGTGGCTATTTTTTATCAGCAAGAAAATTATTAGTTCGATAACATTGACATATTAGATACATAGTATTTATTTTCTAGTTTTCCCTCTCCTCTTCCTCTTTTATCTCCTCCTCAACCCCTCATCCGTCTTCTCCCCTCTTCTTTATTTTCCCCCTACTTCTTTGTCAATAGCACCCATTTTACCTAGATTTGTAACAACTACTACGGTTTAGTGTAGTTAGAAATGTGCACATTCCAGTGCTTGTATTGATTATTTTGATGCTATTCCTAATGTTTACATTACTTGATGTATGAATGAAATGATGTAAGAACGGAGGGAGACCTCGAAGGGCAGAATGCGTGCCAAATTCTTAACCATTTAAAAATGAAGTTTGTTCGTTCGTTCGAACCCCTGGGTACAGTCATGTAGTGGAGTAGACCATAAAGACAGTGTACCGTATTCAGGGTACACCCCAGAGTTAACACAAAGGTCAGTGACGTGATTGGCCACGAAGTGCTGGTTACACCAGGCGAAACTAGCGCTCAGAAGAGACCACTTGAAGACCGCAAATGAGCGTGAACTCTTTTCCGGTCAGGTTCTTGGCATGCTTCTTCCATGACCTTAGTGAGCGGGTTGACCGAGCAAAAGTCACGAGATGGGAGGCCACCGGTGATTCGACGTGTAGACTTTGGACATATAGGATGTGTTAGCGAGACAGAGATAGAATGTTAGAGATAGGATAATACTTTAGTGACTGCATAGATTATTTACGGTGTTATAGGTTTGACCTTTTTGTACTGTGTAGTTTAATGGTAAAAGGTGTTGTGTTGCTTCACAATAAGTAAGTAGTGTCTATCCCTTTTGGATCAGCTGAATTCGTTAGATGCATGTTTTGTGAGCTAATGTCTAGCCTTTTCACACTGACCCTGCACTCGACAGAAGCTCTGACATCTTAGTAAGCTCAGGTGGCAAGGTACAAGAACGTTCCCCGCAGCGGTGTGGTTTAAAATAAGATTAATTATCCTTACGTCTGTTTTAGGACGTAATTTTTTGTTATTTGAAGCCCCACCCTGGCTTTTGCCAGGAGCCGGAATATATGCAGGCCATAAATATGGCCAATTGTCTGAACGCGGTTTCTGGGACCTCTCCACGGCGATCCTCATCCACATGGTAGCACTTGGTGTCGTCGGGTGTTTGTCGCTTGTGTGATGTCCTAGTGGGGTAGAAAGTCAGTCAGGTGGGGTTCAAGCACATGGGGTTGCCTGTGGTAACGGAAGTAACGTACTGGAGAGTGTAGTGATTGTAAAGCCCACTCGGCCAGGGTTCCAGGCAACAGGCGGCCATACAGGGGGAAGTCAACTGTCCGTTGTAATATCTGTACTTGCATTAAAGATTGTCATGTGTGATCTCTTGTGCTTTCGGGTTCAGTTTGTGTCAGGTTTAGATTGTCTGTCAGAGGCCCACTCACGAGCCACGTACCATCAAGGTCACCCAGAGGTCTGTGATATTTTTCTAAACGAGACATTGGTACCATATGTTTTGGTTTAAATTAGGCCGTGACAATTGATCGCTTAGACCTAACATAAGCGATTTAACTCACATCCGCCAACCTGTAGCTGGTCGCCTATTAAGACATAATTGTTACTAAGCTGTAGGTCCAGTCTTTTTTGTTTAAAACTAGGCCCAGACCCACCTGGAAAATAATGTGCTGAAACTATATTTTATAGATAAATCGACACTCATTGCATGATCTGGTAAACATTACACTCATCATATAAAGTTAACCTTTTAATAAAACATGATTTTCCTTGATCCCTTTCTTGAATCATTTACCTTGCAGAGATAATGTCTTTACTTTATACCTAATAATACTGATTGCCATTATTTTCTTAAGTTTAAAATAAGATTTAATCCATGTATGTTTTTTCTCCCTTTAATTATCGAAATAAAGAAAATGAAAATTAAAAAAAAATATTATGCACATGTAACCGTAACTCAACAGTATGAGAATTTCATATTTCTCACAGGAAGAAAAGGTTTTTAAAAATAGCTTTATATTTTGAACTCATTTTGAGATACAATAAAATATTAACACTGGAATTTAGATTTTCTAGTACAAATGCGCCTGACCAAACTATCTGATATAGGAAGAAATACGTTCCTTCGACACTAAATTCTGTGTAGCAATACGTTACTAAAGAAATAATAATAGATGGCGTGTAACAAATAATTAAAATAACTGATATTAGTACCACCATAACAACAGTACTTTTATCCCTGTTGCTCATGGATTCTGCTTTGTCTTTCTGGACATTTGCAGATTTTCGCCACTCAGATTTTGCTTTCAGCTGGCAGATTAAAATTGTAGTGAAGATAACAATGACCAGTAGGGATAGAACTCCAAAGAATGCGTTGATGAAACAAACAGCAGTAAATAACTGCTCCTTGTTAATGAAGATCAGACCTATGAGAGTCTGATTTCTGTCTGGGAAGAATTTCCAGTCGAGGTACGATGAACTGTAGAGGGGTACCCATGAAAGCAATGTCAGTATATAAATAAAGGCAAGTATTGAGGTGGTTCGTTTGACGGTAATTATTTTCCTGATTGTCAGTGGGAAAGCGATACATAAACATCTCTCCAACGTGATATAAACAGTTATTGAACAGCTCAGCCTTGCGAAAGTCTCGTGCGGCCACAGTCCTGTCACGTGTTGAAAGTGAATGTGTACGATTGGTAGATCTGTGTATTGACACATAGCGATAACAATATACCACATATGTAATAACAAACAGCAGAGATCAGAAATAGCCAACGCGAAGAAGCTAATATTAATTGTAGTGTTCAAACCTTGACGATAAAACACAATTAAGTTAATTATATTAGAGACAGTTCCAAATAAACAGATCAGGCCACACAGGAAGATGCAGTTGATAAGTTCCACTATTTGCTGATGTAATTCCGTTATGTGAATTTTCAAGTGAATGTTCGACAGTTCTTGCTCTGTTGCGAAGAGATGTCCTGTGGTATTAAATGTCTTCATAACTCACCTGCAAAGAAAACAAGGAAACAAAAAGTCTGTGTGTGAACGTAATTCAAAAGCACTAAACCGTTTTGACTTGCGTTTGTAGGAAATTAAGCAAGGAAGCATACCTGGGAAAACATTCTGAGAAAATACGAACAGAGATTCACCAAACAAGTACTTAAACAAGAAAACAATAAATTCAGGAAACAAGGACGTCCAAGACAACATTGAAGCGAACGTTGACGAAAGTGGCTTAAGGTCTCGGCCTGGATTCTATCCATTATTCCAAAGTGATTAGACAGGATGCGAGAAAAAGACTGTGAGCCCTATGTGACAGGAAGGGAGAGATAGACTGTGAGCCCTATATGACTGGATGGGAGAAATAGACTGTGAGTCCTATATGACTGGAAGGGAGAGATAGACTGTGATCCCTATATGACAGAAAGGGAGAGATAGACTGTCAATCCTATATGACAGGAAGGGAGCGATAGACTGTGAGCCCTACATGACAGGAAGGGAGAGATAGATTGTGAGCCCTACATGACAGGAAGGGAGAGATAGACTGTGAGCCCTACATGACAGGAAGGCGAGAGATAGATTGTGAGCCCTACATGACAGGAAGGCGAGAGATAGACTGTGAGCCCTACATGACAGGAAGGCGAGAGATAGACTGTAAGCCCTATATGACAGGAATGCGAGAGATAGACTGTGAGCCCTACATGACTGGAAGGCGAGAGATAGACTGTGAGCCCTACATGACAGGAAGGCGAGAGATAGACAGTTAGCCCTATATGACTGGAAGGGAGCGATAGACTGTGAGCCCTACATGACAGGAAGGGAGAGATAGACTGTGAGCCCTACATGACAGGACGGGAGAGATAGACTGTGAGCCCTACATGACAGGACGGGAGAGATAGACTGTGAGCCCTACATGACAGGAAGGCGAGAGATAGACTGTGAGCCCTATATGTGCATGTGTGCATTTGTGCATGTGTGCATGTGTATGTGTGTGCATGTGTGCGTGTGTGCATGTGTGCATGTGTGCATGTGTGCATGTGTGCATGTGTGCATGTATGCATGTATGCATGTATGCATGTATGCATGTATGCATGTATGCATGTATGCATGTATGCATGTATGCATGTATGCATGTATGCATGTATGCATGTATGCATGTATGCATGTATGCATGTATGTATGTATGTATGTATGTATGTATGTATGTATGTATGTATGTATGTATGTATGTATGTATGTATGCATGTATGTATGTATGTATGTATGTATGTATGCATGTATGCATGTATGCATGTATGCATGTATGCATGTATGCATGTATGTATGTATGTATGTTTGTTTGTATGTATGTTTGTATGTGTGTATGCATGTGTGTACGTACGCATGTACGTATGTGTGTATGCATGTCTGTATGTATGTGGATGTATATGTATGTGTGTATTGGGTACCTATGTGTGTGTGTGTAAGTGAGTAAATGGGTTTCCGTGTGTATGTGGGTGTGTGTGTTTGAAGCGTGTGCATGTATGTTATTACCCATGCTTTTGTTTTTGACTTGGTATTCATAATATGCATACGATTACATGAACATAACATGCTTTATTGATAAAATACAACTGCTGTGTGAAAGATAGTAGTTTGGAAGGGCCGAATGTAAGACAGGCCTGTGTGTCTAATTCGTGACCCTTTGGAAATAACGTTCGTTTGTTCCCTCTACCTTTTTCTTTAGTCCTTAAAAGCATCTCAATTTATTCAAATTAATAAAGTCTACTTGTATAATAATAAATGCATGTCTAATTCTCGAACTAATGTTTGGATATTTTAAAAACATCTGTTGTTTTTGTTTTTGGTAAATATCCTTACCTGCACAATCTGAGGCCCTAAATCATCAGCCTCAAGGGCTCTGTCTACACTGCCCTACACAGATGTAAAACAGACATTATTGACAGTTGTTGGTTTACAGATCGAGTGCCAAATAATCTTTTAATATGAGTCTATTGCCGTATGGCTAAAAAGAACATTGCATAAACATTGTTCTTTAAATGTTTTTATGGTTATTATTATTAAATGCCGTAACCGCATAAATACGAACTCTCTTAAGACGAATACTCGGTTAAAGCGAATATAATGTTGGTCCCAGCAAAACCTATCCTCATCATCATCAATTTCCAGTTCTGCTGTTAAGCGTTATTGGGAGGAATAGTTTTTCGATCAGTTGCCTAACGGGCAGCAATGGCTACTGTCACTCCCTATCGATGTAAAACTTCTTTAATGTTATCAATCCATATATTCTAGGGCGGCCTCTTGCTTTCACTTAAGATCTTTTCATGTGTAGCGCCTTGGTTAGTAGTTTTTCTAGCTGCATTCTTACTAGATTACCCTACCGTCTGATCCTCTGCGAGTTTGCTGCATGGTGCAGTTCCTACAGTCTGTCTGATAATATCGCTTCTAACTTTGTCTCGGATGGTTAAACTAGCCGCTTCTCTTCGGCGTCACATTTCACAGATGGTAATTTTACGTAGGTTAGCTATTGTCAATGTCCAAGTCTGGCACCGGTAGAAATCGTTTAGTCATAATACAATTATTAGTCCCCGGTTGGTACAGTTATTTTTGTTTCAAAACACAAACTCTTCATCTTTCTGTCCTTTGGCATTAGTGTTAAAGCTGGTTTTTCTGCATTCACAAAGTTATCAATTGTGAGCAACATGAATTTCTGATTTTTATTTCTTTGTTGGAGAATTACATTTGTCCACTAATGGTGTCACTCACACCCTTATTGTTATTATAGTCTTGTCAACCGACTATTTATTGTTAAATTGCTTCTAAATTATAATTTCAGCTTTGACGCGAACATTGTAAGGTGTTATATGAAATTACCTATTTAAATAATTTCACTACAAATTGTAGTGACTGTCATTCACACGTGCTATTTTGGGACATAAACAATGTCTCTTGTGCACACTCATAGATACAAACAGCCTGTGAGAACCATGTATACAATGCTCGTCATTGTGTGAAAAAAGCGTTATTGGCCTCTTTTACTTGCTTGTTCACAAATGTGTAATTTGTATTATGATAATAAGCATTGTCCTGTACATTGATGTATGTAATATTAACGTAATCATAGTGACCGAAAGTTTACCTTAACATAACCCTTTTTACTATTCAATAAATGTTCACTTTTAACTTTTCTTACGAATGGAAGGAAATTGCTCTATAACGATCTCTTTCATACATCAATCCTTGTCAGATAATGGCAGCAGAAAAACTTACATCAATAATTATATGGATTTATAATTACAACCGAAACATAAATATGTAAATACAGTAATTTTACAATATTCAAAGATTTCTTAGCAAAGATACAAATTAAACTGTCCTCAGCGTGAATATTTTCACGGCAAATCGGTTTTATTTAAAGACGAAGATTATAGTAAATTTAGCTCAACCTGTGACTGTCAGCAATTCCAAAAGATACATGGGAATTTAAAAGAGGGTTTTGCGTTCATAGACGGGTTGGTTTACTTTATGTGCCGTCGAAGTGGGAGCGAGAGGCCTCGTTTCCACTTCGCTCTACAATGTGGTGAAAGAACTAGGATTGCGCGGTAATGAACGGAAACGAACACTCAAAACAACTGGGAGAGGTGGCCGAAAGGGCCTCTAGCTGGCTTTGGACGCAGCGCAACAACGTAGGGGACGGGCCTCGGTGAGCGGGTCCGGGTGTCTAGTGGAAAAGAGTTTCTTATCCCTTTGAAAGTCCATCGTGTCCGAATTGTCTGCCAGTGTTCCTCTGCCAACTGCTAATAAAAGTTCAACATGTGTCCGGTAAACCAAAGTAAGCTTGTCGCTCGGTCGTCCAGGCATGCTGACTGCTTTAATTAAGCTGCCGCGGCGGCTTCTTATCTCACAGTACCTTCTGCGAAACCACCAAGTCGTCTTGTCTCTGGCCGAAAGTAAATCACCATCCGGTAATTCCGTGCAGCGGGGAACCAGCCCTGAGCTTCATGAACTCAGGAGGGCCCACCTCCGAATACGTCTAGGAATCGTGGGCCGAAACGTGTGTCGACGAGGATAATTTCTACTGACGACTGGTAGATCCCCGCTGTACTTGCTCCTGTGAGTTTATTCCTATTGTGCAGTTTACATAATTTACTTACACTGTAAGGAATGATAAGTATTTTATGTGGGCTTTGCTGTATACAAAGGTAGAAATTATGAATGATATGTAGCTATAAATTTGGTACTATGAAATAACATTTAGTCACTTAAATGCTTCAAAAATCTCTGAGATCCTGTAATCTTGACACACTAGTTGGAAAAATAAAATCTCTCAGATCCTGTAATCTTGACACACTAGTTGGAAAAATAAAAATAAAGTACAGTAGTACATGTTCACAGATATTGGCTAATACATAAAGATAACCTTCAGGAAATATGTTGCGCAACTCTGCAGGTTCAGTGTTAGTGAATGTGTTTGAAAACTGCTTGATCTCTGTGTACTTGGGTTTGACTTTCACTGCAGTTGATATAATTTTTTTTTTTTTTTTTTTATTGGAACAAAAACAAAACAAACACAAAAAAAATAATAATTAAGATGCCGTTCTCATATTGTTCGTACAACTGCTGTTCGAAAGATGGAAGTTTGAAAGGACCGAGTGAAAGACAGGCCTGCGTGCCTAATTTTTAACCCTTTGAAAATAAAGTTCGTTCGTTCGTTCGTTCGTATTATCGCCCAAGAGTCGCGACATCGCCAACATACTGGGATTTAACTGTACCCAGCCTGCCTTTATTGTAAAGACGTTAGCTAAATATTTTTCAAGTTATGTCATCAAATCTCGATAGCCTTATCCTTTCTATACAACAAAATACAACATGTCTTCACGTTTGATAGAAATTCAAATATTACTCGTGCTGAATAGCACAATCAGCCGTTCATTGCAAATACAAAACGGCCAGGTGTATATATTCTGTTTTCCGGAAAACCATCAAGAAATAGTTGACAATGAAAATGTTTATTTATGCAGTTGTGTCTCTCTATCAGCTGTAAAGACACATTCTAGTATAATAGTTGTGATTCACCTGCAGGGTCTATGCACACAAATGATTGTCAGATTACTTTTCATAAACATTTCTCACCAGTCTATTATGATTGTGTATTTCTGGTATACAGATTTTGAAAGCTCATTTAGAGCGACAGGACTCCTTTTGGTATGCATTGATGTCGGACAAATTTGCAGCGGGTAAACGAGATATTCCATTATGATTAACTGTATTTGTTACTCAAGAAAACCGAGAACAGGTATTATTAGTTGCTATAGGCTTCTGATGTGCTAGGGAGGAGATTAGAGCACATATGGATCTGTCTAGAGCGCTGTGATGATAATCCTCATAAAACACCAATTGCATATGACAGATGCTACTGTATTTTTTTCCCCTGGACTACAACCATCATCAAAGGATTTACGATAGGAGTTTGAATGTACCACTTGACATCAGCCTCGGCATTTCAGATTTTCTATAGTGACCAACGGGAATCTTATCATCATCTTGTAGTAGGTCCTTTGCAGAACGCAGCTCTCATCACGGTCTGCCTGAAAGAATCTTGGCCACTCGCCAGCTCTCCCCTTCGCGCACTTTCATATCCAAAGAGAACTGTATTCTGTGCTCATCTTTGGGTTACGATCACGGCGGATCGGAAGGTCGTGGGTTCTCTCTGTGGCAGAGCCGGACTTTTTTTTTTTTTTTACAAAATGACTTTGGCTACCAGGTAGGTCCAGCCTTGAGTGGGTAAAGGGTACAGTTCTGGGAAGTAAAGGCAGCCGGAGCGATGCATACTACATCAAACACCTTGTGCCGATTGTTCTATAAAATATAGGACTAGTCCTATATGTTATTTACGCCTAAAGGCGTGGAAAAGGGTCCTTTACTTTTATTTTACTACGATCTTAGTGTTGGTCCGCCCCTATCCCTCCTTACTGGTACCATGCCTTCTACTATTATTATTTTCCAATCCGCAAAGGCGCTTGATGTGACCAAAATATGTAATCCTTCAAGACACAGTGCAGTTTATTAGCCAGTCTTCCTTGATATCCAGATATTTTGAAATGTCAGTATTTCTTCTATTCTTTGTCTTTGGTATTATGAGAATGTGTCTATAGCATTACAGCACAAAAGCCTACAAGAATCTAAGCTTTTTTTTTTTTTAAACCATTAAAAAAAAAAAAAATGACCGAGTTTGAATTAGGACTTACAGAAAACACTGCAAGAGCCCATTTGTTTCCGTTTTGATTTGTACTCACTCACTGGCTGTAATCTCCGGTCATAACTTCTGGTTAATCGTCGACATCTGGGCCTTAGTATTGTTCCTGGAGCTGAGTGTTGCGCGCACATCAGATTTACATATCTACTCTATTTGTGAGCAAACTGTCCTGTAAGCGGATAGATGATTTCAACGTCCGCAGAAACACCAGTCCTGTCTACGTTAGCAAGGCTGCTGTTTAGGAACGTTTCTAGGATGACTACAGAGATGTGTACACGGATCTTAACCTAGCTCCTGCCTTAGTCCTGGTGAACGACCAGGTAATATGTTCAACTCTACATCTGGTCCGTTGGTTTTATATATATATATATATATATATATATATATATATATATATATATATATATATATACATGTACATCTCTGTACATTGTGGTCCTGTTTAACAGGCACATTGTGGGGACTGTACAATCTTTATTGTATGCATGTGGTAGTTGAGCCTACAGTGTCCTGTTTGTAGACCGAAAATTGTTGTATGTTGCTTTCTGTTGAGTCTGCTGATGGGGTCTTGTGGATGTTTACTGTTAGTTTGATATCTCCACAATTCCTTGTATTTTCCTTTGATTTGTGTTTTGATTTCTGGTAATGACAATGTGTAAGAAGTCCGTTGTGAAGGCTTGATAAACCCAAACTGTTAATGCTGTCCTGTTTTGTCTTAAGACAGTTTAAATTATGATGCTGATTATCAAACCTAACAGTGGCCCGCGTGAAAGAACAAAATGTACCAAGTGGTCAATGCTGTAAGTCTCATATGAGTCGCGAGTGGCTGAAAAAAATCCTTAGGGCGAGTCGCCAGTCGTTAGACAATTTATGTCGCACTTAAGTTCAAGATTGAGAATCAAAAAGCTACAAACCTCAGAAACGATCCCGGAAATCCCATTTAACCGTATAGCCATAAAGCAAATGTATATTTCGGATGGCGGGGGGGGGGGGGGGGTGGGGGGGGGGGGGGGGGGTGGAAATCACAAAACATTTATAAAAGAACTTGTTGTTTATTGTGGGTGAAGACAGTATGGTTACCTGGAAAGATGTTTCTGTTGTTATACTCTGAGGTCTGTAGTATCAGGTATATTTAAGACTCTTAAAAAAACGGTTGTGGTAATCGAGTAGCCTAACGGCGCTGCCTGGGCACATTATGGAGTTTAAAATAAACCCAACATATTTAAGGATCCTCGCCGGTGCTACGGAACCTGTGCACTAAGCTGAGCTACTTCGGACTCAGACTTAAGTTAGAAGTAGAATGGAGCACTTATAGGTTACTATCCGTGTGCCAGGATGTTAACCCGTTGTTTAAACCTACAAAAAATAAAGAAAGAAAATACCATTCTTTGCACTGGGGTGTTTTTGATACAATGGGCGATTTATTCTGTTTCCGATAGTGAAATGATCAATATCACACCTGCCTAAGTATAGTTTTCACAGCGATTTAGAGCACATATGTTGAAAGCAATAAATTAAACCATAACTCAGTACATTCATAAGTCTAGGGGTGCTACGGGGTCTCAGGACATGATGTCCGCCTCGAGTGCTAGAGGTTCCAGGTTCAATCCCCAAGAAAAGCTAGAATTTTTTCACGTGGACTTGGACTTCTAGTAATTCCCCCTGGTCTCTTGCTAGTGAGATCCGAGGCCCGTATCCATTGTTGCACACGTACAAAAATCCCCTGGCAGTTGGAAATCGAAAAGAGTAGCGTAACGGCGCTGCCCGGGCAAAATTTTGAGTTAAAAATTTACCTAAAATATTTCAGTATCCTCGCATGTACTACACAGCATGTGCACTGTGCAGAGCTTCTTCGGACTCAGACTTGAGTTAGAAGAAGATCGGAGCACTCGTGGTTGTGCCAGTGTGCGATGATGTTGATCCGCTGTTCAAAAACCTCAAAAAACCGCAATTATCAGTCTACAGTATGCGCATGCATTGGCAGACCAAGCCAAGCCGACAATGACTAATATGTAAACAGCTTTCGTATGTGTGTTTGTGCGTATAAATGTGTGTGTATTTATTGTATGTGTGTGTGTTTGTGTGATCTCCACAAGCATTGCTACCTATCTCAGTCAGTATTAGTCATAACACTATAACCACACAATTTGCTGCTAATGCTGCCACCACCACCACCACCACCACCACCACCACCACCACACACACAACAACTAATTGTTACTCTTACTACTGCTGCTAGGACAACAAAAGGAATTGTTACTTCTGCTACTGGTAATACAACAACTATCAGTTAGCAGCAGCTGCTGCTTCTACCATTGGTAACTGCAGAAGCCTGCCGGCTTAAATGTCAATTGTTTCATTCCGCATGCAAGCGGATTTTATTCTTCCTTCAAAATGGACACTGTTAAGGGGACCCAGCCTAAAATAGATTATTGGCCATGCCATGGGAATTATAAGGTCGGCCAGCGTGGTGTTGGCCATTTTACCCCCCGAGTGCCAAATGGCCTTAAAATATCCAAATCAGCTTTTTAACCAGATGCCAAAAAGGTGTGAAAAGGATCTTTATTTACTGTGCTTTTTACTGTAATTAAGCTAGTCTTCCGGCAAACTGTTCGACAGCCAGCTGGTTGACGTTCGGAAAAGTTGTATTTCAGCTAGGTTTTGTTAACGAGAATTCTCTATTTCGGTACTGAGAGTCGAAAGGTTCTGTCGTCCATCTACTAAACTAAGTGGTTAGTGTGATACTGTAAGCTGTGGATTTAATATCTGTCTGTTATTCCCGCCAAGTGCTGCTTAAATCTGGTGACCGCTTTTTTTTTTCAGTGGTCACACATGTTCCACTTTCCCCCTTCCGAAAACATCACTGGAAACTGACGTCCGAATCTTTCTTTGAACTATTGCCTTTTTCGAACTCTTTTGATCATGTTCTACTCTTTATTAAAACGATACGAAATTAACGTTCTGTGTATAAGGATGCATTTCGTTGATCTCTACAATTATAGGAACGTTGTCCCAAGCGATTTTTCTAGGATAGTTAAAAAAAAAAAAAAAAACTGAGAATTGCAGGCTCTCCGGATGGTATCTCCACCTTTCCGCCACGGGATAGCTTGTGTTTGTCAATGATGCATTGAGATACCCTTTGCTGGCAGCCTAACTACCAGCAGGAGCTCCTAAAGCTGAAAGGTAGGAGGGTAGAAAACAGATAAAGAGAGAAACCCTGGTACTCCAGGTTGGGATCTGAAGCGTGGGGCCTACACGCTCACCTTTGTAAAACATAATTTCGAAACGAAACACAAACAGGGTGTGTGAGAGTGTGCGTGTGCGTGCGTGCGCTTGTGTGTGTGTGTGTGTGTGTGTGTGTGTGTGTGTGCTCGATTTTAGATGAATTGCAACGAACACCGAACCTATATCGCTAAAAGGCTTTTGAGATTCAACACACAAGTTTTGATTTGGTGCACTAGAAGTAAAGCCTAAGGGGAACGTTGTATTAGAGGAAAGGGGATCGATTATAAAGGATAATGTAAGAATCTACTCCAAACCTACAAAAGCTGCAGTGCAAGTTGTCGCGGTGAATGTAAGCCGACCCACACTCAAGCTGCCTCAGTAACAAGAAAAATAAAGAGAAAAAGTTTGTTAAATCAGAATTAAGACTAAAAGTGTTTTAACCCAGACAGGAAATAATCTGTATAAAGTCTAATCAGTAGTAACAGTAAAACTAGTCACACTAGCTACAAGTCCTAACCCGAATCAAAACAACTAAAACTATAATTATCACACTCAACATCTGTTTATTTTCCTGAACAAAAAACTAACGTCGCTTCACAGATAACATTACATGACAACAAACATCGTGTCCACACATAACACGTGCAGGCACTTGGACTTACACAAGTGCAAATTAGCTCCCGGCGACCATCCAAAATCAAAGTTATCAACAGGCCCGTTGGCACCCCGCCACAATAGGAATAAACTCACAGGGAGCAAGTACAGCGGGGATCTACAGTCATCAGTAGAAATTATCCTCTTTCGACACACGTTTCGGCCCACGATTCCTAAACGTATTCGGAGGTGGGCCCACCTGAGTTCATGAAGCTCAGGGCTGCTTCCCCGCCGCACAGAATTACCGGATGGTGTTATACTTTCGGCCAGAGACAAGACGACTTGGTGGTTTCGAAGGAGGTACTGTGAGA